TTTCCAGTGGGGGTGAGATACTCTGTCCAAAGGCTCTCTTGCATGGCCTCTCCTCAGCTGATATTCAGCTGTTTGGGACAGAGGTGGGATGCTTACGGGCCAGGTCTCCAAAAGCCAGAAATGATTTCTTCCAGAGATGAGCCCAAAGGATCTCAGGGCTGAGTGGGATGGTGGGACAGAAATGCTTGGGATCTATTTTACTTTTTAACCTTCAGTTAGTGAAGTGAATTGAGAAGCTAATCAAATGCCATTGTGGGAGTTTGTGTCCGCTGGTGGTAATAGCATCAACTGGAGTGATGGTAAAGAAAGGTCAGGCAGAAGTCTGGAAAGAGAGAGGGAGGAGAGAAGATATGAGGGGAGTGAGCAGAGCCTCACCATGCACCTTTCTTCTCTGTTTAATTGCAAATAAAGCAAAAACAGCTTGGGTAGCCTCTCAACCTCTTAGCTAAAGAGAGAATTTGCCAGCCCAGGCCTCAGAGGTGTTTGGGTGTTTGGGGGCAGTTCTCAGGCGCTTGACATGCCCCATCTGGCCTCGTCCTCCTTCCCCCCTCCCTGCTGAGCCCCAACCCCATTCAGCTGGCCAGCCTGGGCCCTATCCCCAGAATATAAGCACCCCCAAATGGGATCCATTTCCGGGTTGGATGTGTCAAATTTCACCTTTCTCCAAGTGTCTCCATGCCTGAACTTTGAAAGGAGGAGGAACATTCTGTTTTGGAATGCAATGTGTGTATGGGGAGGTATGTGCTCAGACAACTTCCCACACCGTATCTATAAGAAACTGGAGGCTCCTTGGGTGAGCCATGCTTTGGTGTCCCCAGGCAGTCCCAGTTCCCCGCATTCAGGTTCTCTGGTGGACTTGGAAACTCTCTTTGCAATCCTTTGCCTCTGGATTCTATGGTGATCAAAGGAACTCCTACACAAAACACTGGGCGTTTGGAGTAGGATTTATTTTTTAATTTTTAAGTTAAAAAATTCTAATCATAAGCCAGTCGGGCCAACTGAGCAGTCGCCCTAGAACAGCAAAACCTTAACCAAACAGTGGGATTGTAAGGTGAGCTGAACAATTATTGAAACTGCAAGAGGGATTTCAGCCTTTGCCCAGTGGCACAAAAGGGGCTGGTGGGGCTACCGCTCTCCCCCTGCTCTTGAAATCAAGAACTGGCAGGGGTGAGTGGGGCAGCTGCAGTGGCTGCCGGGCAGCCAAGCGCCCAGGCCGAGCGCTGAGTCCTGCGGCTCCCGTGTCCAGGTCCTTGAGCAGCCTCCGGAGGCGCCGAGCTGTGGTTGGTGGCGCCGGCAGCCAGAAATGGAGCGTGTATCTGTGTGCAAGGCTGGGTGGGTCACAGACGTCCGTGCAGAGTTGGGGGAATCTAGGAAAAGAGAGAAGATTGGCAGAACACAAACTAACTAGGACCCCTAGAAAAGATTGTCCCCCAATAAATATTCCAGATCTCAGCCCTCTCACTTCAGATACCCTTCCCCAAGAAATTAATATATTTCCTAGAGCAAAGTGGAAAGCAAAGGCAGGCAAGAGGAGGCCTGCCCAGGAACCCCTTCCCAGCCAGAGTTCAGTCACATCCACCCTCTCCCCAAATGAGAGCTGCACAGGCTCCCAGCCCCTGGCCTGGAGCAGGTTAAGGCTGGGGCAAGCGTGCTTTACTCATTCTGAGTAAACCTTCAAGTGCCCAGCCTCCAAAGCACCCCTTAGCCTTGGGGACTCCTGGCCAGGGACTGCCCTCATGCAGGCCCATGGCGCCTGCAGTAAGTTCCTCTCCTATAATTAGCGTTCATGAGAAGCATGTGTTTTGGACTGGGGACATGGGGGGACTGGAGCAGCAAGAGGCAACTTTCCCCCTTTATTCCTTTTCTGTGTTTTTCTGAATTCTGTTTTCGAATCCCCTAATTACAGCTCCGAAAGCGAAAATCTGCTCTTGCCGCCAAACCCCCTCGGAATGCCTGATTCCGGAGGCCCAAGGGGCAGAGCGACTCGGAGACCTGCAGGCCTGATAGGGTTGTTTCTCTGACTGCTCTAGGCTTGTTTTATAGAAACAAAGAACAAGTCCCCCCCTTCCTAGGACTTGTGCATATTTACAGAGCTCAACTGCAGTTTTAATAAAACATCTGTTCTTGCTTCTGCTGATGAGTTTCCATAATTGTTTTCAGACAAATTTAACAGGAAAATATAAATATATTTAGAAAAACCCAAGTCCCAGCTATCCCCCCATTGACACTCGTTGTTTCGCCCAAAAAATAAAATTAACATAAAATGAGAAGAGGAAAATATAATCCAGTGGAGGGAAGATCGGGCTCATCTGACGTGCTCTCCCCCCTTGGAGCGAATCCTTCCAGCAATTTCAGCTGCATAATTAAAGATCTGACTGAAAGAAGGAGGCTTCTTTTTTCAGGAATGGAAGGTGATGGGGGAGAGTATGTTGGAAATTAATTTTGCCGAAAATCTTTAAGCAGTGGATTTATTTGTATTTCTGCTTCCCCTTCTCTCCCCCTTCCAGCATTTCTGCCTTTTCCCCTCAGCAGCTGGTTTCTGTTCATTATAAGTCGGCGAGACCTTTCAGTCTCTGCCCTCTGTTTAGGGACGTAATAAAACACTTAACTTTCCGGGGCTGAGACTTACATTCTGCTCCTCAGGTCGCCCACCCCCGCGCCCACTACTTTCAGGACCCAAAGGAGACTATCCCCAACTTTAGGGCCCCTTTCCCCTCCAGACTTTGTTTAGGGGGGCTCAAGGAAACCCAGGCATCCTTGCTGGGGGGAGCCCCTTCTTTCTCCCAAGGTCCTTCCTTCTCCCACCCCTCATAAAAGAGATTTAAAAATACATAGAAAATCAACACTCATTGAAAGTGAAAGCTCATTAAGACATCCTATCTTCCATCATTCAATTTGTTGTACATTGCAACAATTTAATATCTTGAAGGAAATATCACTGACATGATTTATCCCTCTAGCAATCTCTCTGAAATGGGGGGGGTGGAGGGAATTTACTCTCTCTTCTGGCCTGTTCTATGTGTTACACTGCTACCCTTAGGGCAGAAATGAGGCTGGGAACTCTGAGAGCGGCTGCTTGTGTCCAGGGGTGCGCTGACTTGTTTCTTAGCTCAGCCCCCTGGGTCTCCCCCCCCAACCCCCAGTTCTTTCTCGATCTACCTCTTGCCCTCCAGGGGGCCTGGAGCCCCAGCCAGCTGTTGAAAACCTCTGTCCAGGCATGCCATGAATTGGAGGACAGCTGGATTCTAGAGCAAAAAGCAAGTCATGCTGGTGTCTGTGTTTAGGTACCTGCCATGTTACCCCAAACCAGACAGCTCATCTCCAGATTTCTTTCTTAATTTGGAACCCTCCTTTACCCTTTCACTTTTATCTCCTTGAGCAGAAGAAAGTATGGTCCGAGAGGGGGAACCTTTATAGTGATAGGGGTCTTTCTCCCACCCATTTAAATACCAACAAATTTCCCTCCTTTCTGAAGGATTGGGGCTGTATTTTTAAAAGCCAACACAAATTGCCCGGCAGGAAGACTCTTCAATCCCCCGAAGAAGCTCATGTATTAGCTAACATGTTGTCTCCACCAGCTCCTACACACTGTCTGCTTTTGGGTTCGAAACTTTATTTTTCCCCCCTAGCGACACTCCAGGGAAACCTTAACGTTACAGAAGATGAATAAACGAGTTTTTTCCCAGCATAGTCCCGTTTATGGCTTTATTGCTACCCATTGATTACTCCGCTTTGTTACACAGAAGGAAAAGATCATAAAATCCGGCGACATCCGGGTTCTTGTTATAGCTAGCCCCCCCCCCAAAAAATGGTGAAGAAGAAATATGAGCTTCCACTGCTCCCTTCGCTAGCCCCACTGCCCCCTCTTTGTCAGCTCAAAGCATTTTCAGCCTATATCACGATATCAAATTAAGTTTGGATTAATCAGGAGAAAAACCCCATTTGCACACCTTCCGCTGTTTCACTTCACCCACTGCAGCTCCCTCAGAAGCCTGGAACTCAGCTGCCTTTTCCTAACCTTCTCTTCCTTTTTCTCAGCCCCAAGGGGAGAGAAAATGGGGGTAGGGGCTGCTGGGAGGCCCCGCTCAGCCAGGTGTGGCTGGTCCTTGAGTGAGAGCTCCCCAGGAGACCTTTGCTGGAATCTCCCAAGCCTCAGAGCTCAGGTCCAGGGATGCCTCCCTTGGCAGGGCAGAGTCCGGAGGGGGCTGGGGGCTTGTGCAGGGGCTTGAGCCTGCCAGACGCTAACTGTCCTTCAGAGCTCCACCAGCCTTCTCTTTCTGCCTGGATCCTATGTGAATTACCCCACCAGCCCTCGCTGGCTCCAAATCATAAATTCTCACCAACATAAACAGGAGTTGATGTGTCTAGAAAGACTCTCAGAGTTCTTTCTTCTTCCTTTCTTTCTTCCTTTTTCTCTCTCTCTCCCACCTTTTACTTCCTTCTCTCTCTTTTCTGTTGTATTTTTATATTTTCCCTTTTAGGGAAAAATGCTGCAGCATTTTCCCCCAAAAAGGGTGTTCTGAGAGGCAGAAGGGGGCTGAGAGGAAGAGGAAGCCCATGCATGGCCCCGTTGCTCACTTCAGCTCTGCCACCGTGTCCTGAAGTCTCATCCTTACCCCTTTAGACCTCCTTGCTCCCTACATCTCCCTTCCACCTAAGACTATCAGCCACACTTTCCTTCCTCTGAGCACTATGTTTTATGCAGTTTCTTCCTACTTTTGATTTTTTTAGTTATTGGGGGAAAATATTGGTTTAGTGATGAGGACTCAGTCCATGGATGATCAAATTAAGGTTTCCTGTAGGCTTTCTGGGGATTCCCCCCTGAGCTGGGAGGGGGGAGCTCATCCCATAAAGAAATCAGGATGTAATTTTAGAAGGGGGGAGATATAAAAGATGAAATCAGATTGAAAATAGAGGGATTTCTCCAGACCTGGCTCTGCACAGCACAGCAAAGTTGGCTGGGGCTGAGAGATTTCCTAGCAGGGCAGCTCTTCTTCCCTGGGCCTCACGGCCCTGCTAATGCCTATTCACCCTTCTTCACCTCCAAATCAGTTCCCTAACATATATATATATTTTAAAAGAAATCCAAGTCTTACTTTCAAAGCACACACTTAGTCTCAACTAGGGAATCAACAGAAGCAGAAGCGATTTTTTTTCCCCCTTCTTGACATCTGGCTTGCGATTGGCTGGAAGAGGGTCAGCTGACTTTGTCATTTTGTCTGTCCTGGATTGGAGCCGTCCCTATAACCATCTAGTTCCGAGTACAAACTGGAGACAGAAATAAATATTAAAGAAATCATAGCCCGACCAGGTAAAGGCAAAGGGATGAATTCCTACTTCACTAACCCTTCCTTATCCTGCCACCTCGCCGGGGGCCAGGACGTCCTCCCCAACGTCGCCCTCAATTCCACCGCCTATGATCCAGTGAGGCATTTCTCGACCTATGGAGCAGCCGTTGCCCAGAACCGGATCTACTCGACTCCCTTTTATTCGCCACAGGAAAATGTCGTGTTCAGTTCCAGCCGGGGGCCGTATGACTATGGATCTAATTCCTTTTACCAGGAGAAAGACATGCTCTCAAACTGCAGACAAAACACCTTAGGACATAACACACAGACCTCAATCGCTCAGGATTTTAGTTCTGAGCAGGGCAGGACTGCGCCCCAGGACCAGAAAGCCAGTATCCAGATTTACCCCTGGATGCAGCGAATGAATTCGCACAGTGGTGAGTTTTACAGCTCCGAGATATAAATTAAATAAACTGAACTGGCTTTATGACCGGCTTCCCTAGAAGAACGGGCGGAGAGAGTTTTTTATGGCCCCATAAAAACAATCACGCTCGTCTCCTCGCCGACGCCGAGACAGGGCCCCCTCTTCTGCCCCCTCTGCTCGCCTCCCGCTTGCTCGCAGGGGCCTGGCCCCCTCGGCCCCTGACGGGTTGGAGGGCTCCAAGGCAAGCTGAGGGGGCAGGAACAGGGCAGTGTATGAGGGGAGGGGGTAGGAGGTGGCGGAGCCCCCCAAAGTCGAGTCAGGCTGAGGAGAAGGGAGGGGGGAGAGTAGGGGACAGAGAAGTGGGGAGAAGTTTCCAAGGAGCTAGGGTGCTTGGGGGAGGTGGGGGAGCCCAGTTGTTGAGAAATAGGGCCCTCATCCCCAGTGTTTGGGATTTTTCAAAAACCAGTTTTTACACTTACAGCTTTCTGCCTGGTTCTTGGCCGCCCCCCCCCCCCCATTCTTTGGGACACTCACCTACCAGCACATGGTGGGGGACTAAATGAAGTTGGAATCCTGGCTGTACCCCCAGTGGGGGTGGGGCAGGGCAAAAGGGAGAAGGCTCTAGTCCGAGGGGGCCCGTGAGCTGCTGGCCAAGTTGGGAGGGTCAGGACTTTGCTAGGCTAAATCGTCTACGGAGGATGCCTCGCTGATTGTTTTTAGTGTGTTTTGTGCCTGGATCTCTAGGGGTCGGCTATGGAGCGGACCGGAGGCGCGGTCGCCAGATCTACTCGCGGTACCAGACCCTGGAACTGGAGAAGGAATTCCACTTCAACCGCTACCTAACGCGGCGCCGGCGCATCGAGATCGCCAACGCGCTCTGCCTGACCGAGCGACAGATCAAAATCTGGTTCCAGAACCGCCGGATGAAGTGGAAAAAAGAATCTAATCTCACGTCCACGCTTTCAGGGGGCGGCGGAGGGGCCGCGGCCGACAGCCTGGCCGGAAAAGAGGAAAAGCGGGAAGAGACAGAAGAGGAGAAGCAGAAAGAGTGACCAGGACTGTCCCTGCCACCCCTCTCTCTCCTTCTCCCTTGCTACCCTCCCCCCAATTCCCTCCTAATCACACACTCTATATTTATCACTGGCACAATTGATATGTTTTGACTCCCTAAAACTAAATTAGGGAGTCAAATATGGACCTGAAAGTCAACTCTGGACCCCCTCCCTCACCGCACAAACTCTCTTTCACCACGCGCCTCCTCCTCCTTGCTCCCTCGCTAGCTCGTTCTCGGCTCGTCTGCAGGCCCTTTCCCCTGCCCAGGCCTTGGGGGCTCCGTCCCTGAACCTCGCTTCAGACTCCACAGATTTCCCTCCAAATGAGGACTTGGCCTCCCACCCCCTCGGCGCCTCCACCCCCGCCCCTGCGCAGAGAGCCGGCTCCCGGGCCGGGGCCTCCGCTCCGGGGCCTCAGGGCCCGGCCTGGCAGCCGCGGAGGGCGGGAGGCCCAAGGAGGGCGCGTCGTGGCCCCACAGCAACCCCCAGGGCCTCCCCGCAGCCCCACACCCGGCCCCTCTGCCCCAGCAAATGCCCAGCCCAGGCAAATTGTATTTAAAGAATCCTGGGGGTCATTATGGCATATTACAAACTGTGACCGTTTCTGTGTGAATATTTTTAGCTGTATTTGTGGTCTCTGTATTTATATTTATGTTTAGCACCGTCCGTGTTCCACTCCCATCTTAAAAGGGGAAAAAAAAAAGAGGGAAAATTACAAAAAGAGAGAAAAAAAAGTGAATGACGTTTGTTTAGCCAGTAGGAGAAAAAAATAAATTAAAAAATCCCCCCTTGTGTTACCCTCCTGTATAAATCCGACCTCTGGATCCGTTCTCGAATATTTAATAAAACTGATATTATTTTTAAAAGTTTATATCGGGATTTCTGTTAATTCGCTCGTGCGCCGGCCTGGGGTGAAAGTTGGAGCCAGCTCCGGGCGCTCTCGCGTCTTCCCGCCGCCTGCAAGACCCCTGCGCTCGCCTTTCCCGGGAGCCGGGCGCAGAGCCGGGGCCGTCCTGTCCTCCTGGTGAATGCGCTAAGGGGCCTGGGAGGGCTCTCTGGACTTCCCAGCGGAGCAACACACTCACCCCGCAAAAAAAGGCCGCATAGGATCTCGTTGCGGGTATGGGAGGGGAGGCCTGAGGTCGCTCGAATTGGTCTCCAAACCCACAGAGGCCTTTCTTCCTGCCTGTGGTAGCCTGGGGTCCTCGGCTTCTGAACCCCGATCCCCCAAGGGCCAGAAAAGTAGCCTTCGCCAGGCACCAGGGTCTCCCCCGTCCACTACCCGGAGTGAGGAGAGGGGCGCCGCGCGAGCAGCCCCCAGCCAGCGCCAGGCCCAGGCCGGCTGTTACGAAACGTGGAGGAGGCGGAGAGCCGAAGGAAAAGAGAAGACCGCGGGATTTGAGCCTTTCCGCAGGGACTGAGCGATTCAAGGACATCTCGAAAAAGAAAGCCTGGAAACAGCCTGCTCTGGGACTCCTGACGGGGCTGGGACAAAATTCCTTCTTCCTCACAGCCCCAGTCGCAGTCTGGTTCCTTACTCCTTGGCCTCTAAAACTCGGCGGGTGAGGAGCGCAGCCAGACCCTAACCCTGCCCCAGCTCAGGCCTTCTCTCCTGAAGCCCAGCCAGAGAAACCTGAGTGGACCTAGGGAGTGAGGTAGTGAGGGGGTCTCCGGGAGGGAAAAAAATCCGCCAGAGTTTTCCAGACCTTCCAGATCCCCGCCAGCGCCCCCTCCAGCGCCTCCGCGGGCGGGGGGGCAGGAGGGGGCCTCTCCTGGCAGGGGCGGGGATTTCCTGGGGAGAGGCAGGCAGGGAAGAATAAGACCTGGGGCTAGGGGAGGGGGGTCGGAAAGGGGCCGAATGGCTGCGGAGCCCCTGGCCACAGGCTGTGAAGGTTGCCCAGGCGTCTGCCCTGCCCACCTCCTCCATCCCCCACCCCCAGCCAGGTCTTTTCCACGCCTCCAGATAGCTGAGGAATTGCTCTCCTATGGACCTTCTGTATCTAGGTCCCTGAAAACCTGTTCCAGAGGCCTTTTCCAAAAAGGGCACAAATTAGGCCTTTTCCTCTGTCTTGCTCATATAATATTTGTGGAGGCTTCAATCTTGCTTCTCCATGCCCTCAACTGACATCTATTTTCTATCCCAAATATCTGGCATAGAATACCCCATCAGGGTCATACACAGGGATGCAGAGCAGTCCTCCAAGCCCATTGTGTCTGGTTCTACACACACACACACACATACACAGAAAATTGCCTAGTTGCCACTCTGGGGTCCCAGCATGATGAGGTTTACTCAACTCCTCCAGGATCCTCACCTCCAGGCTCATCCCAGAGTTCCCAGTACTTTCAGCTTCCTGACCCTCCCCCCTATCTAGTTCTGTCCACCCAGGACCCCCTTCCTGGTAGCATCCTGTCCACCTCTCCAGGGGCTGGGTTCACTTCCCCATGCTAACAGTCACTTCCTCAGCAGTAGCAGGGCCTTGGGGCCTCCAAGGAGAGCGACCTCGATGCTTGGTGTAGAGAACCTGAGGTAAATCCCTTGGGATCTCCAACTTGGCCAGGGACCCCCCTACCCACATCGCCTTTCCTCAGCCATTTTTGAAGATTGAAAGGTTCTGGGGGTGGAGAGACAGGGCTATCCGTTAGTTTTTGTATCCTAAGCAAGACCTCATCTTTCCTTAAAATTAAATACAGTTTAAAAGGCCATTTCAATGGTTTGTTGCAGCCGCAACTAGCGTCTCTACAGGGTAGAAAATCCAGCGGTCTGAAGGCGAGCCGACAAGCCATGCTGCAATTCCTCAAAGTAGGCACCAGGTGTCGCTGTGGGCTCGTTGTCCCGGCTACCCCCCAATTCCAAGAACCATTTTTTTTTTTCTCCCCCTCTCTCTCTTTCTCTCTCACTCCCTCTCCCCCTTGGTTGGGCTTTGCCAACATATCAAGATGCGTTTCGCCGGCTTCCATCACTAACCTCCCGGAGGTCATCAAGCCAAATTTATGAGTGGCCGCTCCAGTCACGTGACTCTATTTAAGGCTCCCTTATTTGGGAAGAGCGCATAGGATAAAGAAAGAGATATCTCCACCTATAAATTGTGCACTTTGGAGAACAAAAAACCCCTCAACTTCAAAGAGTCACAAATCACCCTTAATCAAAAAGGGTGCAGAAATTTTTTTTGGGCCCTCCCCGCCATGAGCTCCTACGTAGCCAATTCATTCTATAAGCAGAGCCCCAATATCCCTGCCTATAACATGCAAACTTGTGGGAACTATGGATCGGCCTCAGAGGTGCAGGCATCCAGGTACTGCTACGGTGGATTGGACTTAAGCATCACTTTCCCACCGCCTCCGCCTTCCAACTCTCTCCACGGGGTAGACATGGCTGCCAACCCCCGGGCTCACCCCGACCGCCCCGCCTGCAGCGCCGCGGCCGCTCCGGGACACGCTCTGGGCAGAGATGAAGCGGCTCCTCTGAACCCCGGGATGTACAGTCAGAAGGCGGCTCGCCCAGCGCTGGAGGAGCGAGCTAAGAGCAGTGGGGAGATCAAAGAGGAGCAGGCGCAGACAGGGCAGCCCGCCGGACTGAGCCAGCCACCGGCCCCGCCACAGATTTACCCGTGGATGACCAAACTGCACATGAGCCACGGTAAACTTTAGGACTTCATTTTGCGCGCTCGGGTCCGCCTGGGTTTTATAGGCCATGCGGGGCAAATAAAGAAAAAAAACCTGCGGCCATAAATTTTACGATCCAGGCATCAATGGCTCGTAAAACTGTCCACTAAAAGGCTTAGAGGCTGTGTGCGCCCAAATTTACGACGACATAATTGGATCATAGGAACAAAACGTGTATAAAAGGCAATATTCAATTTTTGGGGGAGAGGGAGGGAGTTAAAAAAATAGAGGGATCTGAAGGGTGAGGAGCACGGAGCTCCAGAGCGGGGATCCCCCCGCGGCTCCCTCCCTCCCTCCCCTGTGGTGCCGGCTCAGCCGGCGCTGGCCGCTCCGGAGGATTCCAGCGACTCGGGAGGGGCGGGAGGGGGGTCCCCGGTGCTCGGATCTCGAGGGTGCTTATTGTTCGGTCCGAGCCTGGGTCTCCCTCTCCCCCCAGCCCCCTCAGTCCCTCCGGCTGCTGAGTGAAAGCTGCGGCGGAAAGTTTCCTGCCTGGGCAGAGGCGCTTCTCCCGGGGGCTAGATTGGGCTAGGCTGGGCTGGGCCGGGCCCGCCTGCGGCCCGCTGGTCCTGCCCTGCCCTGCTCGCCTCCTCTCCCTCCGGCGGCGGGTGGGGGCCTGGGCCGGGGTCGGGGCGCTGGGGCGCTGCACGCTATTCACCCCTTCCTGGCTTGGGGGGGGGGCTTATATTCCAGAGACGGACGGCAAGCGGTCCCGAACCAGTTACACGCGCTACCAGACTCTCGAACTGGAAAAAGAATTCCACTTTAACCGCTACCTCACTCGCCGCAGGCGTATAGAGATCGCCAACAACTTGTGTCTCAACGAGAGACAGATCAAGATCTGGTTCCAGAACCGCAGGATGAAGTGGAAGAAGGATTCCAAAATGAAAAGCAAAGAGGCTCTTTAGAGGCAGCGGGGAGGCCCGCAGATAGCACCCCGAGCCCGCTTTGGTCCCCGCGCCTTTCCTTTTCGGTTTTCCTCTCTATAATTTGGGGGCAAGGACGGGGGCGGCAGCACCGGCTCCGGGGCCTCACAGACAAAAGCTCTTTCCCTTGGCATTCCGCATCCCCACCGACCCCTTTCCCGAGGGGCTATCCGCGCTGCTTGGACTCCCTCCAGTTCTGCTCAGCACCAGGGGAGGGTGGCGGGCAGGGCAAGCTCTGCGGGGGTTCCCCAGAGGGCTTTGGGATCCCGGTTGGTGCTGAACGAACCCGGGCCTGGGCCTCCTCTTGGGCTTCCAGCCCCAACGCGGCCCTCCGGTTTAAGGTGGGCCCAGCAAGCGCTCCAGGACCCGCGGCCCGACACCCGCCCCCCACCGGCCTCCCCTGTCCTTTGTTCCCGGCTTAGGCTGGCCAGGCGGCTGAGGGTTGGCGAGAGTGGTTGTGCTTGGCGGAGTCTGGCCCCAGACTCGGGGTGCTTCGTTGTAGCGACTAAGCTCCATGTTTGGCTTTTAAATGATTTGCATATGAAAGGGGGAGATGACTGAAGGTCCGCCTAAGGCCCCCTCTTGGGGGGGGGGGCTTAGGCTCTAGGCCTAGGCTCTCCAAACCTTCTCACCCATCCCTAAGCCCGGTAACCTCTCCAGCCTGCGCCCCCGCCCCCGCCCGCATGCCCTCTCAGGTCCCTCCGCCTCAGACCACTAGCTAGCTCAGCTATGGGGGTTCCTTGCCACTGGACCCCAGCAAGCAGTCCTAGGTTTCTTGGCTGCCCACTAGTCCCTGCCACAAGTCTCTGTGCCCTCCTGCCCCATCGCTGTTGTCCAACTATTTATTGACTCCAGGTCTTTCCTGAAACTATATTTTGTCATATCAAATAAAGACAAAGAGAGAACAGGACTAAAGATGCAGCAATGCCTCTCTGTTTGGGGCACGTATTGGGTAAAAGTGTCTAAATGGCTATAGAGTACAGGGGAGGCCCACAGCTTCTCTGCCTCTTTTGAAAAAAGAATTTTTAGGAGCTTCGAGAGGGATTGAGAAGAGGGTGGTGAAACTGAACTCCTTCCCAGATCCCTGGTTCCCGGAAGGGCCTTTGGGGAAAGGGGAGGGCACTTAGGTGGTGTGTACTGACGTTTCCCACGCCGTGGCTTGTCCAAGGCTTTCAGGCCTCTGTACCCCACTCCCACCTTGGCTGGGTGAATCTGAGGCCTTTAGACAAGCAAGCAGACCACTGTCTCCCAGAGCTAATCTGCAGGGCCTGGGGGCTCCATGGTGCTCAGACTCTTGGGTCCTTTTGGGTCTCTGAAGATCTCTCCCAGGCCTAGGTGGCCCATTTGGTCCCAAGAAGGATTCTCAGAAAGAGTTGGTACTGCTTGGTGAAGGGGTCTGGGGGGTGTTAAAGGAACTGTGTGTTAGCTTTTTAAGATACCGGGGGAGATGGGAGCGAGGAGGGCAGCCTACAGTGAACCTGCCTGGCCGGCAACGTGCAAACCAGTTTCTCCCACTTCTAGTGCCTAAGGCTATGCAGGACAATTAGCTGGGAAAGGAGTTGTGTAGACTGGTGCCTGAGTCCCGTCTGTTTGCCATCATTTGTCTCAGTCTCTGGGATTTTGTGTGGAGGGGGAGGGTGGACTAAAGGGAAGGGGAAAAGGCAGATAATTCAGGTGGTGCTAAGGCCGGCTGAGGCCCGTACTCTGCTCTGCTCCGGGCTCCTGGAATGGGATGGGGGAGGAAGTACTTTATAGGAGAAACAAATGTGGGAAGGGTCCATAAAACTTTACTGCATTTCCTCTCCTGCCTCCCACAACGGGGGTCATTTCCTGGAGCCAAGACTAGGCCCCCCACACTGGGGGAGGGTGGGGTTCAGGAGCTGGGCTAGAAGGCTGCTTTTACAGCCAAGAGGGAAAGGGAGCAGAGAGACTCTGGGGAGGGGCAAGGGGAATATTTATGATTATTAATGCTGATGCTCCTTGAATTTATTATAAGGACTGACTTCTCTGCATCCCACTGCCTAAGCTATCCATCTGTCTTTTTTTTTTTTTTTTAAACCCAGGAGTCTTTCCTCACCCCGTGCCTAGCACGTAGGAGGTCTCAACAAATGTTTATTGATCTGTGCCCATTGCTGTGCCCTTCCGTTTGCACTCAGGCCAGGTTAGGGTGCCCGTTCGGTCTCTCCCTGACTAGCACACAAGAGTCTGCCCAGCCTAGCACCACCTCGGCTCCGCTCTCAATCTCTCTCTCTCTCAAATAAAATGTGTAATTTTCTTCAGGGAGTTATTTTAATTTTTTCTCCATGCTGAGTAAAACTATTGGGCGAGCGGTGAAGCGTAGAGAAGCACTGACGTCTCCAATGGGTAACGGTTAACTAAGAAAGAGGCCGTGGCACCCGCCATCACACCCTCCAGCATCCCGGGCTGCAGAGGCCCAGAGCTCCCTCCCCAGGGGATGCACCACCCCAGGGGTAGAACCAAGGGCTGGGCCAGGGCGAGGGGCCAAGTTGTCAGACCCTCCCTGCAGGGCCCACCAGCCCCTCTTGGCCCGGAATGCCTCCTTCCTGCAGTGTTAAGGCCTCTTTCCCTGGAGGAGCTGGAGGGTTGACTCAAGTTTGCCAGACTTGGGTGGACGCAGCCGTGCTGGCTTGCCCCCGCCCTTTCTGTCAGGGTGCAGGCCTGCCCCAGGCCCCGGCCTCTGCTTCTGTGGTGTCAGCTGCCACAACTTTAGCAGAGGGCTCCGACGTACTCCCCTATGCTGGGACTAGGTATGGCCCAGACCCTCGCTTTCTCCCAGAGTGGAGTCTTCTGCTTTGAAGCCTGGGCTGGTTCTCCCAGCCAGCCTCCTGGAACAATCTGCAAGCATCAGGATTTAGCCTTGCCCTGGAAAAGTTAGTGGAGGGGCTTCCAAGTCCCAAGCAGAGACCATGGAGCCTGACTCCCCACTTTGCCCAGAAGCCCAACCCCTCTGGCAGCCAGACAAAAAAAAGGGGGGGGAAGAAGCGTGACTTACCTTCCCGGGGGAGTGGGAAGAGGGGGACATGACCCACTCTGAGCAATTAGAGGAGAGAGGAGGAAAAAAAAAAAAGGAGGAAAAAAATATCAACACGACCTCGAAGGCGACAGGTCCTTATGGAAATAAGTAAGTAAATAAATAAATAAGGATCCACCCTCTCCCCCCTCCCCACCCTGCAAGGGGGGTGTGGGGGTGGGGCAAAGGAGCAGCCTAAGGGCTTTTTAGTGTAACTGAGCATTAGAGAAATACGCAGGCTTCTATGTGAATTTAGGAGTTTGAAACTTTTGGAGGTTATTTATGTGAATGGCCCGAAGGCAAGCCCGTGAGTGGCTCTTGGGGGACCACGTGATGTCATTAAACCAAGTTTTATGGTGTAGGGAGAGCTGACAAACCCACAATATATTTACATCATATATAATCTTAACTGTCCAGCCACGCAGCTGCTGGTGAGGTTTAATGCTAGGACAGAGGGCCTGGCAGTTAGAGGGGATTACGGCGCTGGGGATGATGGTGAGAGGTTACATCTTCGCAAATGAATCCCAGGCGAACGCTGTAAGTTAATTTTCTCTCTCTCTGACCCTTTCTCCCCCGTTTACCTAATCCCCCCTCCCCATGATAGAAGGCAGTTCCCACTCATTAAGGGGAGGGGATGAAGGCCTCCCCAGGCATTCCCAGGCTAGGGTGGAAGAGTAGAAGCCGCTGGGAGGTAGGAGGATGGGGGAGCTTGTCTCCTCTGACCATTCTCCCCTCCCTGCCCTTTATTTACTCCAGCTGCGAGTCAACTGTGGTAGAGAGGCCTGGGTTCTTTAGAGCTCTGCCAGTTCTCCCTGACCCTCTCTCCCTTCTCAGTTGGGAAGAAAGACTGCGGCAGACACATGGGTGTTTGGTGTTTGTAGGAGTGTGCCAACTCTAGGCGCAAGCGCAAAGGGCCTCTGGGCCCCCCACCCCCGACCAAGGAGGGGGCCAGTTCAGCCCTTGAGCCAGTGGTTCAGAGTCCAGGCAGGTCAGGCAGCTGGAGAGGGACGCCAGGAAGGCAGGCTTTGGGACTTCTGAGTCTCCAGGGTGCGACCTGAAATTGCAGAAGCATCTTAAAGGAAGCTGGCTGAGCCCAGAGAGTCCCAAAGCATTTTCTCTTTCCTCACCACCAGGCCTGGTGGACAGCTGTCCCAGCATCTGTAGTCTGGGGTCTTGGTCGGCCTGGAGCCAGGGTAGTTTCATGCCTCCCTCTAGCTGTTGGGATCTTTCCTGGCATTCCCAAGCCCTTGCCTGAGGCAAAAGTAGGCCCAGGAGGGACTACTTTTAAGAGTATAAATGGGTTGGAGAGTGGAGGCAATGTCTTTACTAGGCTGACCAGGAAAGCCCCCCAGCTCTGGGGAGAGAGTGGCTTCCGTGTGGTAGAGTAGCCATCAGGGCCGGATATGGGCATGGAGTTCTTCTGCCAGTCTCAGGCTCAGGCTCCCTAACTGTGTCTAGGAAGGAGGCTTCCGGCACGGAAGGCGTGTGTCCTCCACACCTGCGAGCGCAGACCCCTCCCCATGCGGCACCCGGAGCTAAGCCAGGACAGCAATGACATAGAAACTCAGTCTCCTTGAAGGGGCCGACAGAATCCTACTGAATCTGGAGGGATTCGGAATCAGGGCGGAAGGTGGGCCCATGGAGGGAACTGGTCCAGGCCAGAGAAAAAGGAGAAGAGTGGCGGGGCGAGCCAGGTCTGCACCTTCCCAGAAGGGAGGACTGCTGTGGGGATCCAGGGCACACGCTTTTGTGGAGAAGCGCGGTTGAGGACGGAAAGAGGATGTAGTTAGTGTGCCCCTGCCGCCCAAGGGGACTGAGGAGGAAGCAGGACTCAAGCAGAGACAGAGAGCCCAGGCCCGCTCTGAGAGAGTGAAAGGGAACAGAGACCCAAAGACACGCCTGAGCCAGGCGATCTCCAAGCCCAGCTCTACCCGGCTCTCGCTTGCATAAGCAGCGCTGAGGCAGGACCTGGGGGACTCCCTGAAGCCATCCCTCTGGGGACCCCTGTCCCAAACCATGATTGGGCCTCCCTTGGTACCATAGTCCTCCCTACTCCTTTATTTCCCAGGGAAGCATGAGGATGCCAGAGGATTTCCCCAGGAGCCCATTCAAAAAATTAACTCTCATATTCTTCCTTTCTCATAATTAGCCCTCTCCACTCTCCCCTCCTCAGTAGTCTGTGATTTGGGCAGGGGGGGGGATTCTGGAAACTTTCCATTCAAGCCTCAGGGAGATGGGAGTTT